GGGGACGCTCCCGCTTTTTTTTTTTTTCATCTTCTGCAGACTAAAAAAAAAAAAAATTCTAATGTCACTTTGCTGCTAACGAAATTTAGTCCAATAAACAAAATTTCGACCGGACTACCGCTAACGGATTTCGTCCGAATCCCGCTACGAATTCAAATGCGGACCCGAATCCGAAAAACGAAATATAATAAATCCGAATCAAAACGAAACTAAGCTAAACAAATTTTTTGCTGGTGCACATGTCTACTCCTAAGTGCCTTTTCTGCAATGAAATGAATGATATCAGCCCTGCCCAGCTGTCCTTTGCTGAACTGCAGAATCCCTACCGCTCTCCTCAATTACACAACATAGTGCTTCGTAGTCCAGGTAAGAACTAGGAGGGCTAATTAGAGACAACACAGGAAGTGAGCACAGTTCTGAATTTCTGGCAGAATCAAAGGGTAGCAATGAGTATTCTCAACAGTTATAACAAACCTCCCCCAATGGTATATCGATCAGACCACATGGGAGGCAAACAAGTCGAGTTTGGGGAATAAATTGACAGCGCCAGTAACGTTTATCGAGATCCACCTCAGAAGACTTGCTGCTTCGCTATAGACACATGTCCTCGGCTCAACTTGTCAGCGTATGCCGGCTCCTCCTGGCGTTGCTGCTTTGCCTAGGGCAGCACAAAAGGTAAATACACCGCTGCAGACCACCTGGGCTCCCACCGCTGACGTCTATCAGTCAATAAGAGCTCGTATGTGGACGAATCTACCACCCGGGAGATCGATCGACCACCAGAAAGCGGTCAATTGTGAAGCCAAGATTGGGCGATACACTGACTTTAACTCCTTGACGCCGGCCAGAATCATAGAGCCGTGTGAAAAATTAAGTACACCCCGTGGAAACTGATGAACGTTTTCCTTGTATTTTAACAGGAAAATATTAGATTATCATCCAAACAATCAATACCGACAGATAAAAGGTGATAAGTAAGCTTTCATTCCATTATCAGAGACATCTCCTGTATGTATTCCTATTACAATGCTGATGTCAGGACAGGAGAGGAGATGCCGGGACTTTACAACTCCTTTAAACATCAGAAAATGTTCCTTTCCAATCATTTATGCAACAAAAAGATCAATAGATGTACGGATGCACCAATACCATTGTTTCCAGACCGAGTACTGATACCTTTCCTCCAATACTCGTCAATACCAATTACTGATACCTTTTTTATTAGTGTCATGTGACAGTTTTTCATAAAACAATACGGACTAGGGATGCACCGATACCAATACTAGTATCGGTACTGATACCGAGAATTTGGGCGAGTACTCGTACTCGCCCAAATGCTGCGATGCCGAGCCCGATACTTCCAGTATCAGGAAGCCAGACAGCAAGTCATTACACGCTGCCCGGCTTCCTGATAGGCCGGGAAGCTGGCTCCATGCTCTCTCATCACAAGTGACGAGGCAGCATGGAGCCGGCTTCCCGGCCAATCAGGAAGTCGGGCAGCATGTCATTAAATGCCCCCCAGCTTTCTGATTGGCCAGAAAAACGGCTTCATGCTCCCTCGTCACCTGATGATGAGGGAGCATGGAGCCGGCTTCTCGGCCAATCAGGAAGCCGGGTGCTGTGTAATGACGCGATGCCCGGCTTCCTGATTAGCCTGCTTCTCGACCAATCAGAAAGCCGGGCAGCGCGTCATTACACAGCACCCGGCTTCCTGATTGGCCAGTAAGCCGGCTCCATGCTCCCTCGTCACCAGGTGAGGAAGGAACATGAGATAAAAGGAAAAGAAAGGTGAGAAAGGAAAAAAAAAATTGTTGAAATAATATTTTAAAAATGTAAACTAATAGTAAAAAATGAAAACAATTGGGCGGAGCTAGCGGTTACAGCTAGCTCCGCCCAACTGTTTCCTATTGGCCCGGAACCTGCCAGAGTCTTCTAGCAGGTCCCAGCCAATGGATAACAACTGGGCGGACGTCACGGCCGGCTCCGCCCAGTTGTTATTGTTTAAAGAAAGATCAGCGTCCTCAGGTCATTTTGGGGATACTAATCTGTCATCTAAGCTGGCTTCGCCCTGCTGTCATCTGCAGGGCGAACGGCCGCGTCGGCTGTCACTTCGGATCAGTCGAGCTGAAGCATATGCCTTCGGCTCGGCTGAGCCGCTTGCCCGCCTTCGGCTACTGTACGGGCTATAGTTAAGGGAGACCTATGGGGTTAAGGCTTTTCCCCATAGTTCTCTTTAGGGTAACGGGAGGACACAAACTAGCGTCCTCCCGTCACCCTAGGCTCCGTATACCGCGAGCTGTACGTCCGGGCCAGGGGAGGACAATGAAAAGTAGATCAGTGAGAATCTTAGAGGACCTTCTTTTGCACATGGGGCTTTCAGTTCTGTCAAAAATATATTACATTTTTAGGCTTGGGGCAAGTTTGAGAAGTTATGACGCAGCTGTGGAACCTTCCAAAATGGTAGTCAAAAGGGTCCAGCTACAGCTCGCGGTATACGGAGCCTAGGGTGACGGGAGGACGCTAGTTTGTGTCCTCCCGTTACCCTAAGGAGAACTATGGGGAAAAGCCTTAACTCTGCTGTTGCTGCTCGCGGTATACTGAGACGCCGCAGCTGAAGCGGATCCCGACAATTGTGTGACTGACAGCTGGCTCTGCCTATCTAGAGGCAGAGCCAGCTGTACCCGCCCCCTCCCCCGACCGTTCCGCCAGTCAGCGCTGGCGGATCGGAGCGGGGAATCCAGCCCCTCCCCTGTCACTGCAGAGAGCCGTGACAGGATCGAGAAGTGAGCGAGCGCCGGTATGTGTTCGCTCACCTCCCGATCTACTGTGCCGACCTGTGACAGTCTCATTGTCACAGGTCAGCTAGAACTATGAGGTGAGTGAAAAGCACCCCCCCATAGTTCTTCTTTAATTGCCTGTACAGCAGCCCTTCGATTCAGCGGCCGAAGAGAGCCGAAGGATCAGCCGAAGCTACAGCTGGATCCTTCGCCAACAGAATAACCCCCTAAATCTATCTGCTGTCAGCCTGTAAATGTGATTCACCTGTGTTGGAAGAAGCATCCCTCTCCTTTCTTGGTCGATTCCACCACCCACCTGTGTTTTCCCACTATACTTAAATCTGCTTCTGTACATATCAGTGCGAATGCATTTCTATAGCCACTTATTATTTCCCTCTTGTTAATGGTAATGCTCCAGGTCGGTGGGCTTTTTGTTGCTATTTGTCTTTTGGTCAAGGTACCGTCTGTGTTTGTCAGCACTGGAGAACAATGCTTATTCCCTCCATCTGTCTCTATTCTATCATGCGGAACCCCCGGATTATTTTGACCCCCACCACCAGTGTTGGAAGTGCCACTGGCATCATGGCACCTAATCTGGAACACACAATTCCAAATTTTTATGGACTTTGTGGTGTACTTACTTTTTCCATGTGACAAATCTCCATTTTTTTTTGATATTTAGGTCAGGAAAATGAATACACCATATCAATTGTATGTGTCATTGTTATCTGTAGACAGTGTCTGAATGAAGATCCAATGTTTTCCTGTTCAAATATGAGGAAGGATCTCCCATAAACCGAGCCCACACTACAAATCACACAATGAATGAGCAACACTGAACTATAACCCACCACTCCGCGGTATACTGCGGTCACAGTGGTGTGCCTGGCCTGGGTAGACACTGTTTGAATGAAGATCCAATGTTTGTCTGTTCCAATATGAGGAAGGATCTCAATAAACCGAGCCCACACTTCTGAATCACACCATAAATGAGCAACACTGAACTATAACCCACCACTCTGCAGTATACTGTGATAGTGACCTACCTGGCCTGGGTGTAGGGTGACCACATGCGGGTGGGCATTAGAGAATGATGGGCAGCGGCTCCAGTCGGGGTTCACCACATTAACTCTGCTGAAAATGCTGGACTCCTCATAGGGGATGCGGGTGGGGTACAGGTGATCCGTGTCCTCGGGGGGGAAGAGGTGCCACCTTTTCCTGAAATACAATGTGTGGAGGGTTTCTATATTTATGTATTTCAGGTATTTATATATTGCAGACAATTTACATATAGTTGCACATTCACATCGGTCCCTGCCCCCGAGGAGCTTACAATCCAAGGTCCCTACAGTACTAGGATCTTACAATCTAAGGTCCCTACAGTACTAGGAGCTTACAATCTAAGGTCCCTACAGTACTAGGAGCTTACAATCTAAGGACCCTACAGTACTAGGAGCTTACAATCTAAGGACCCTACAGTACAAGGAGCTTACAATCTAAGGACCCTACAGTACTAGGAGCTTACAATCTAAGGACCCTACAGTACAAGGAGCTTACAATCTAAGGTCCCTACAGTACAAGGAGCTTACAATCTAAGGACCCTACAGTACAAGGAGCTTACAATCTAAGGACCCTACAGTACAAGGATCTTACAATCTAAGGTCCCTACAGTACAAGGAGCTTACAATCTAAGGACCCTACAGTACTAGGAGCTTACAATCTAAGGACCCTACAGTACAAGGATCTTACAATCCAAGGTCCCTACAGTACTAGGAGCTTACAATCTTAGGTCCCTACAGTACAAGGATCTTACAATCTAAGGTCCCTACAGTACAAGGAGCTTACAATCTAAGGTCCCTACAGTACTAGGAGCTTACAATCTAAGGTCCCTACAGTACAAGGAGCTTACAATCTAAGGACCCTACAGTACTAGGAGCTTACAATCTAAGGACCCTACAGTACAAGGATCTTACAATCTAAGGTCCCTACAGTACAAGGAGCTTACAATCTAAGGTCCCTACAGTACAAGGAGCTTACAATCTAAGGACCCTACAGTACAAGGAGCTTACAATCTAAGGACCCTACAGTACAAGGAGCTTACAATCTAAGGTCCCTACAGTACAAGGAGCTTACAATCTAAGGACCCTACAGTACAAGGATCTTACAATCTAAGGTCCCTACAGTACAAGGAGCTTACAATCTAAGGACCCTACAGTACAAGGAGCTTACAATCTAAGGACCCTACAGTACAAGGAGCTTACAATCTAAGGTCCCTACAGTACAAGGAGCTTACAATCTAAGGTCCCTACAGTACAAGGAGCTTACAATCTAAGGACCCTACAGTACTAGGAGCTTACAATCTAAGGACCCTACAGTACAAGGAGCTTACAATCTAAGGTCCCTACGGTACAAGGAGCTTTACAATCTAAAGTCCCTATCTCACATACCCACGAGGGCAATTTAGACAGGAGCTAATTAACCTTCCAGCATGCCTTAGGGTAGGAGGAAACCCACGTAAACTCCTTGCAGACAGTGACCTGACTGGAACTTGAACTGGGGACCCTCAGTGCTGCAAGGCAGAAGTTCTGACCCCTACGTCACTGTGCCGTCCATATTTTCTTTATTACAGACGACACTAAATAATAATACATAGATAGGAAATGTTGCATAAGAATATATTGCATTTTCATTTTAAAGACACCAGATAAAGTTTTCCAATCTTCTTTGCTATAAACTGCCTCAGTAGCGCTCCTGTGAAGGTTTTCATGTATCCAGGTCATGGTATAGCTGGTGGTAGTTGGTCACATTCATCTGGACTTGTTCTGTAATGGTGAAGATGTTGTAATTCTTAGTCTGGATAGGGGTCTGGAGGGGTCAGCTGAAAGCTGTGTGTGGATGGGGGCCTGGAGGGGTCAGCCGATAGCTGTGTGTGGATGGGGATCTGGAGGGGTCAGCCGATAGCTGTGTGTGGATGGGGATCTGGAGGGGTCAGCCGATAGCTGTGTGTGGATGGGGATCTGGAGGGGTCAGCCGATAGCTGTGTGTGGATGGGGATCTGGAGGGGTCAGCCGATAGCTGTGTGTGGATGGGGATCTGGAGGGGTCAGCCGATAGCTGTGTGTGGATGGGGATCTGGAGGGGTCAGCCGATAGCTGTGTGTGGATGGGGATCTGGAGGGGTCAGCCGATAGCTGTGTGTGGATGGGGATCTGGAGGGGTCAGCCGATAGCTGTGTGTGGATGGGGATCTGGAGGGGTCAGCCGATAGCTGTGTGTGGATGGGGATCTGGAGGGGTCAGCCGATAGCTGTGTGTGGATGGGGATCTGGAGGGGTCAGCCGATAGCTGTGTGTGGATGGGGATCTGGAGGGGTCAGCCGATAGCTGTGTGTGGATGGGGATCTGGAGGGGTCAGCCGATAGCTGTGTGTGGATGGGGATCTGGAGGGGTCAGCCGATAGCTGTGTGTGGATGGGGATCTGGAGGGGTCAGCCGATAGCTGTGTGTGGATGGGGATCTGGAGGGGTCAGCCGATAGCTGTGTGTGGATGGGGATCTGGAGGGGTCAGCCGATAGCTGTGTGTGGATGGGGATCTGGAGGGGTCAGCCGATAGCTGTGTGTGGATGGGGATCTGGAGGGGTCAGCCGATAGCTGTGTGTGGATGGGGATCTGGAGGGGTCAGCCGATAGCTGTGTGTGGATGGGGATCTGGAGGGGTCAGCCGATAGCTGTGTGTGGATGGGGATCTGGAGGGGTCAGCCGATAGCTGTGTGTGGATGGGGATCTGGAGGGGTCAGCCGATAGCTGTGTGTGGATGGGGATCTGGAGGGGTCAGCCGATAGCTGTGTGTGGATGGGGATCTGGAGGGGTCAGCCGATAGCTGTGTGTGGATGGGGATCTGGAGGGGTCAGCCGATAGCTGTGTGTGGATGGGGATCTGGAGGGGTCAGCCGATAGCTGTGTGTGGATGGGGATCTGGAGGGGTCAGCCGATAGCTGTGTGTGGATGGGGATCTGGAGGGGTCAGCCGATAGCTGTGTGTGGATGGGGATCTGGAGGGGTCAGCCGATAGCTGTGTGTGGATGGGGATCTGGAGGGGTCAGCCGATAGCTGTGTGTGGATGGGGATCTGGAGGGGTCAGCCGATAGCTGTGTGTGGATGGGGATCTGGAGGGGTCAGCCGATAGCTGTGTGTGGATGGGGATCTGGAGGGGTCAGCCGATAGCTGTGTGTGGATGGGGATCTGGAGGGGTCAGCCGATAGCTGTGTGTGGATGGGGATCTGGAGGGGTCAGCCGATAGCTGTGTGTGGATGGGGATCTGGAGGGGTCAGCCGATAGCTGTGTGTGGATGGGGATCTGGAGGGGTCAGCCGATAGCTGTGTGTGGATGGGGATCTGGAGGGGTCAGCCGATAGCTGTGTGTGGATGGGGATCTGGAGGGGTCAGCCGATAGCTGTGTGTGGATGGGGATCTGGAGGGGTCAGCCGATAGCTGTGTGTGGATGGGGATCTGGAGGGGTCAGCCGATAGCTGTGTGTGGATGGGGATCTGGAGGGGTCAGCCGATAGCTGTGTGTGGATGGGGATCTGGAGGGGTCAGCCGATAGCTGTGTGTGGATGGGGATCTGGAGGGGTCAGCCGATAGCTGTGTGTGGATGGGGATCTGGAGGGGTCAGCCGATAGCTGTGTGTGGATGGGGATCTGGAGGGGTCAGCCGATAGCTGTGTGTGGATGGGGATCTGGAGGGGTCAGCCGATAGCTGTGTGTGGATGGGGATCTGGAGGGGTCAGCCGATAGCTGTGTGTGGATGGGGATCTGGAGGGGTCAGCCGATAGCTGTGTGTGGATGGGGATCTGGAGGGGTCAGCCGATAGCTGTGTGTGGATGGGGATCTGGAGGGGTCAGCCGATAGCTGTGTGTGGATGGGGATCTGGAGGGGTCAGCCGATAGCTGTGTGTGGATGGGGATCTGGAGGGGTCAGCCGATAGCTGTGTGTGGATGGGGATCTGGAGGGGTCAGCCGATAGCTGTGTGTGGATGGGGATCTGGAGGGGTCAGCCGATAGCTGTGTGTGGATGGGGATCTGGAGGGGTCAGCCGATAGCTGTGTGTGGATGGGGATCTGGAGGGGTCAGCCGATAGCTGTGTGTGGATGGGGATCTGGAGGGGTCAGCCGATAGCTGTGTGTGGATGGGGATCTGGAGGGGTCAGCCGATAGCTGTGTGTGGATGGGGATCTGGAGGGGTCAGCCGATAGCTGTGTGTGGATGGGGATCTGGAGGGGTCAGCCGATAGCTGTGTGTGGATGGGGATCTGGAGGGGTCAGCCGATAGCTGTGTGTGGATGGGGATCTGGAGGGGTCAGCCGATAGCTGTGTGTGGATGGGGATCTGGAGGGGTCAGCCGATAGCTGTGTGTGGATGGGGATCTGGAGGGGTCAGCCGATAGCTGTGTGTGGATGGGGATCTGGAGGGGTCAGCCGATAGCTGTGTGTGGATGGGGATCTGGAGGGGTCAGCCGATAGCTGTGTGTGGATGGGGATCTGGAGGGGTCAGCCGATAGCTGTGTGTGGATGGGGATCTGGAGGGGTCAGCCGATAGCTGTGTGTGGATGGGGATCTGGAGGGGTCAGCCGATAGCTGTGTGTGGATGGGGATCTGGAGGGGTCAGCCGATAGCTGTGTGTGGATGGGGATCTGGAGGGGTCAGCCGATAGCTGTGTGTGGATGGGGATCTGGAGGGGTCAGCCGATAGCTGTGTGTGGATGGGGATCTGGAGGGGTCAGCCGATAGCTGTGTGTGGATGGGGATCTGGAGGGGTCAGCCGATAGCTGTGTGTGGATGGGGATCTGGAGGGGTCAGCCGATAGCTGTGTGTGGATGGGGATCTGGAGGGGTCAGCCGATAGCTGTGTGTGGATGGGGATCTGGAGGGGTCAGCCGATAGCTGTGTGTGGATGGGGATCTGGAGGGGTCAGCCGATAGCTGTGTGTGGATGGGGATCTGGAGGGGTCAGCCGATAGCTGTGTGTGGATGGGGATCTGGAGGGGTCAGCCGATAGCTGTGTGTGGATGGGGATCTGGAGGGGTCAGCCGATAGCTGTGTGTGGATGGGGATCTGGAGGGGTCAGCCGATAGCTGTGTGTGGATGGGGATCTGGAGGGGTCAGCCGATAGCTGTGTGTGGATGGGGATCTGGAGGGGTCAGCCGATAGCTGTGTGTGGATGGGGATCTGGAGGGG